TTTTATCAGTGTAATCCCTTCAGGGCTCAATACATGTTCGAAAAAGTCTGAAGTCTCTATTCCAAAAACAAACTTATTTTGATATTTGTTCATTAGTATTTTTTAATAGCTTTTTTAAAACAGCTCTCATGTATTATTCATGGGATGTTAAGTTCGGAATGGCGATTAACGAATTGCCTATATATCGAAGAACATTGTCCGATATCTTCCTTAGATACTGGGATGATGTGACCAAGCTAATTGTACTAAATACGTTGATACCCTATAATCCGTCTGCAAAATGTTGAATACGAAGGACTAGATACCCATCGGATATGCGTAGACCTGAGTCGAGGTTAACTAAGATCAACACTACAGACTAATTACACGCCCGTTACAGAGAAGATAAAATAATCCATAAGAATGAATATGTTTGTTGGCAATTTCGTGGTATCAAAAGAATGCCGAAATCGTGACAAAAGAGGGGCAAAATCACAGAGACAGTGGAGCCGATATAGTAACAACAGAAACTGAAAGTTTGCTCGTGAAGAGTAGAATATACAAAAGAACATTAAAACAATCGCTGGTAAAATTGTTTATGATTATTAATGTTTCTATTAAACCAATCGCATTCTCTTCACAAAAGTCGGTCACTATATATGGTTCAAAAGTCAAGAGCTATGCAATATCCACATGGTCTCCAATCTTTGTTTTTCTTTAGCATTTCTACGCTGCCTCGTCCATCATACCTCACGTCCAATAAGTCACTACGTCTGATGGCTGTGGAATTCTTGAATCGAGAAGACTTAGCTGGATCGCTTCAGGTCTCGTATAAATCGAAGAACGACTTCTGTAGCCTTATTAGTTGCTGCAAAATCCGACCTACATTTGTGAGACAACAACAGGGACGACAAAATAAACACACAAAATTGACAGTTGACCTCGATCAACAATCTACGGCGTAAGACACGTAGATAAGATTCTCGTCGATTGAACGCACTGCACATGCAAAACACACATCGGCTAATTTCCACAGAACTGGTCATGACAACGGCTATCCTTGCAGAGGTGCACCATGCGATGAGACAAACGACCAAGTGCCTCTTTAACAACGTGAGAGGACTAAGGGGTAAGCTGTTAGAAATCAGGAATATGTGCTTTCAGTTGGATCTGAAGATCACAATCCCAAGTGAAACATGGCTATCCCCTGACATTGCAGACAATGAAATGAGCCTGCAAGGCATGGCACTATTCAGTAGCGACATGGTACACCAGACAGGAGGTGGAGTGGCTATATATATAAACAACCATTTAAAAGCCGAAAGGTTACACGACACCCTAACTGACTGAGGTGACAGAATCATGTTGGTGTTGTTTCTACAAAATTGGCACGAGATACTTTAGTGGAGGGATTTGCCTGCCCTCTCAGATACTAAGATCCAGAAAGATAAACTGACTGAGGCAATACCGCAACTACTACTCCTTGTGTTTGACCAAATACTCTTAGCTTTGAATTTCAACAACCTATCTCTATATCTCAGCAAACAGGGCACAACTCTCACTGGTTGGTTCCGAAGACGAATTGGTGTAACCATTAGAAGCTCTGGGCTGACTGAGCATGTATCTGATGCCTCTAGATGGACTATGGAGGAAAAGTCCTCAAACCCGGATTAGTTGTTAACAAATGATCAGCTCCTGGTCTATAATGTTCATGTCCATGCACCGATAGGAAGTAGTGACCATGGTACTGTCTTGTTTAACCTGGTCATAAACGAAACACTCAGGCAGGATGAAAACAAGCCCTACGTTCGCTACACTAGAGCGAATTACTCGTGCACGAGTGAGATCCTTCTACATGTCCAACGGCCAGGGGAATCGTGTAGGCTGGCAAACAGTGAGAGACATCATCCAGAATGCTGTCCTTAGCAATACACCGCACTCACACCACACACCCGGAAACGGAAGAACATGGGTTAGGCACGGCACTGAACGCTTGCTACAGGCGGAGAAGAGAGCCTCGTACGAGTGGAAGGTCTCCTTGAAGGATTCAGATCTTTGTTCCTAGTTGTCATTGAGAAGAAGATGCAATACAAATGTTCGAAATGATAGGAGACGCCTTCAGATGAAGCTAACTGTCAAAATACAGGCAAACCCTTAGCATCTGTTTAGGTTCATGGTCGAAAGAAAACCTTAAAATCAGGGTTTATGTTCTCTCTTAGGTCTGAATGGGGAAGACCTCACCAACCCAGAGGTGGCAGAGATCTTCAAAACCAACTTCACCGATCAATTGAACAAGGTATTTACGTGTTCAGAGTACTAAATAAACCTAGCGTCAGCTGGCGGCTTAGGGAGCATCCGTATTACTCCTGACTTAGTGCGAGGGAAATCAAAATCCTTACGCCCAGGAAAGTCACCAATTTTTGAGAATACTTGCATCATAATCTTGAAACAGTGTGCAGAAGCCCTCAGTTTACTGATATGTGACCTGTTCAGGCATTCACCTGAGTCAAACCAACTCCCAACTGAGTTGAAACAAGCTACTCTATCCAATCTTTAAGATAGAAGATAGGAGGGACCCAGCCTGTCACATACCAGTCGCATTAATACTAATACTATCGAAGGTAGTGGAAGGACTGATGAATGTACAGATGGTGGAGTACATGGACATTAACTGGAAGAGAAAAGTAGAGAAATAGTGAACCGACCACTCAGTAGGCGTATAGAATACACTTAAATTTAATAAAGGAAGCAATAGACAAAGAATACAAATAAAACGAACGGGTTATCGACACCGGAGGTTGGAATAATCAAGTTTTGAATGCGTTACACGATTACCTTTTGAATAGCGCGCGTTTAGACTGAAGCAAAATCAGGAAAAAATATAAGGTAATATTGTATCATAGCATAATTTCGATGTTGAAAAATATACTTCAATTCTTCACAGTTTTTTCTGATTGTAAAGTTGGCCACTTAACAAATGAAGTATTGTGTCTCATTCTTTTGAACCAATCAGAGATGGGTTATGTTTGTGCCGCATAATTGTCATGTCTTTGTGTGTGGGAATTTCGATGGCACTATCTTGGTAGTCTCCGAAGTTGGTTATAATTCTTTATGAATTTACATGTAATGTTTCATTTTAGTTTATGTTTCTAAAGGGTAGGAATTGTAGGTGCTATCATGCAACTAAACTAAGTGTTGATAAATATTCTAGAGTGCGAAATGTCATTCACAGGTTCATTTTTATTAGCTTAATCTTGTAATCAATTCAAGTACATATGGTGACTCAATATTTTCATGTTTTCAAACGAATATGACCAATTATTTATGTTATATCTTTTAATATTCATATATTAATTCCTTGTATTAAGCAATTAACAACTGTTATGGTCGTCATGCTATAAAACGTATGTAGATTCAAGTTATCGATGCACAGTTCAATAGTTGTTCTCAATAAGCTACAATCTATGCATGAATAAGTTACTGATAGCATTGATTTTAGTATTTGATAAGCGTTAGTTAATAATTGTGAATCACAATAGTTGCTACAACACGCTACATCTTGTTGTCGAAGCTGATTCACCCTAATTTTTTGGTTCTTGCACTTTTGAGTTATTGCAGCATACTCGTAAAGGATTGAATCTAACGTACTAAGAATTTATTCATAGTTTAGACGTAGAATTTAGTGTACAGTACACATTATGATCCCCCTGCACATTTTCCAACACTACTCTAGTTTATGTGGGATCTAAACATTGTCATTTGTCTGAAAGATTAAGAAATAAACTATCTAGCAGTGAAATTTCTTTTATAAGAATCGTTACTTAACAAAGTGTCACTAAGTTCTAATAACACCAAGCAGTGTACAAAGCTCTCTCGGCTTCTTTCAGCTTGCATGACCTGTTGTGCTGATGAGATATCTGTCTTTCAAATCATAAGTGTACTTTAGATCATTACTAGTTTATATTGCTTTGTAGTTGCGGAATATTTCATTTATTTATCAAAACACATAAACTTTAGTACTAATGGGACACCTAAATATTGATACTTTGTACATATTAGTGAATTTGTGATCAGGACTACTGCCCAGACTCGCAAATCGAAGCAGGTGGTTTCTTTAGGCGACTAAACTTCAAGCCCTTTGACCTAAAAATCTAATTGGCAAAGCAGAGGAGTGACATCTAGAGATGCAGTCCCATAGTAGCAGGTAATCAATGATAGTTTCATAGGACGTTCGTCCCATCAGAATCAGTCAGTCAGTCAGTCAGTTGCAACGTAGAACTTCGTACGTATGTACATAAGTTCATGTTGCCATACCACATTAGCACAGAGACGCAAATGTCAAATCAAATCCCATAGTGACTAAGATAGTAGAGGTATTAATGGTAATGAAGAAGATTAGGGTTTGAAGATATTATTTCAAAAAGTATAATTCAGTGAGATAAGGAGGTTAGAAAGACAAAGGTAGAGGTGTTGACGAATCCAGAAGATTAGGATTTGAGAGAGCACAATGAATGGATGCACATGCGCCAGTGCAAACGATTTTGAGCCATGTCGTGCAAGGTCTCTTACCATTGATGACTATCGTCTCGTGGACCCCAACCAGGTAGTCTACATCTACCAACATGACTCAGTCCAGTCCACTTGTTAGTGACTTCATTGATTTGTGCCATGTTTTGGTTTGGAAGCCCCTAACTTTCTTCCAACTTACTCCTACACCACAAAACATAGCTCGTCGAGGCGGTCGGTGGTTAGGCATACATAATACATGTCCCAACCACCTCAACTGATGAAGTTTCACCACTTCATCTATTTATCTCGATGTATTTTATTATATATATACATATATTCTGTAATCCTAAACTATCTTTTATTTTATTTCAGAAATCTTCACTACTACAATATTTCTCAATAATCATGTATTATTCTATTATTATCTCAATTAATTTTCGAATACTAATTTGTAGTATTTTCAATCACAATATTTCTTATGATATTATCAATAACAAAAACAACATAAGAAAATGAGTTATCCACCAGATGCTTCACGTTCATGTCATGAAGCTGATGGACGAAGTGATCGAAGTGGTGGTAGTGGAGGTGGAGGTGGGGTCTATGGAACTATATGTAGTAGTAGTAAATGGCCAAACAATACTGTTACATCATATGAAATCAATTCTGATCCTATACTCACTGTAACAACAATCACTTCAACTTCAACAACAACTCCAACTTTAACAACAACAAATACAAATCAACATAGAATGATATCAAATTGGAAAAAATGGTCATTAGGCTTAGATTATTTATTAAAAGATAGTGAAGGTGTAGCATTATTTAAATCCTATTTACAATATGAAGGTTGTTCAAATCTTTTAGATTTTTGGTTTGCATGTCAAGGTTTTCGTAGTAAAGTGGATCCATCAGATCATCGAAAAATTATTCAGCTGATTAAAGCAATTTATCGTACTTATATTCGAGGTTCAAGTAGTAGTAGTAGTAGTAGTAGTCTTAATAGTCAACCATTATTTTATTTATCGAAACAACAATCCAATCCATTATTACAAAATCGTATTGAACCTATACGTCTTAGATCAGAAACACGACATGCTATCACAGAGAGAATTTCACGTAAACATACTTTAGATCAAACTGTATTTGATACAGCTCAAGCGGAAGTTGAACAATTTTTACGAACAACAGCATATCCAGCTTTTTTAAAATCAGATATCTATGTAGATTTTTTACAAACCACACTAGAAGAAGGTGGCTGTATTCGTAAATTTCCTATTTGGGAACAAACAATCTCCAATTCAATGCTTCCATGTATTATTGGTGGGGATAATCAGCTGAGTAGTAGTACATCGACAAATCTTACAGAATATCCATCAAAATTACTTCCAACGTTGGATGAAGATCGTGAATTACAATCAGAAGAATTATCGCTGTTACATTCTTCAAGACATACGTGTAGACTGCCTTGTTGTCATATGATTTCGCCAAATGATCCAGCTACTACTGGTTTACCTGATCCTAGTAGTAGTCATTGTTTACATTGTAAAAATTGTCATGCATATAATCCATACTTACCGATAGAATGTTCACAGCCTATTTTAAGACCACCATGGTATCATTATCATCAACAACAATTACCAATGATGCCTATTAGTAGTAGTACTAGTAGTAGTAATAATTCATCCGCTCCATTAACAATGGAAAATTTACAAATGACTCGATTTTATCGTACTGAATTATCATTACAACAGTCTTCATATTTTAATCCATATGTGACAAGACCAAATAATCAAGAGAGTGAATCTATTGGACGTACAAATGTAACACATGCTTGTAGTAGTAGTACACTAATACCATGGCATTTACAAAATCGTCCAAATTATGTTTATACACATTGGGCAGATGCAATGTGGTAAGTGATGGATTTTCATTTTAGACAATCAGATTACTTAAGATTTATATAGATGTATTTTTAAAAAGAAATGTATTAAAGAAATGATTTGTACTCTGACGTAAAAGCTATTTTAACGATTAGCTCCGTTCTTAAAGGCCCTTAGTGGGCACCCTTACCCAAAGAGACGGAAATCCGTGAGGTATGGTGAGGTGTGACATTTTTAGGGTCGACCTTTTCTAATTCCTTCCTTCCTTGTGAGAAGGCAGCATCGCTGCAGATGCTGCTTGTTGTCCGAGGGAAACACCTTACTGCTGTCACACCCCTCTGCAGTGAGCAGTACGATTTCGCCCTGAGACCTTGAGTAGCTGCTTTTAGTCTCATCGTTCTCCAATCGACCTGCGCCTGGCATGGTAGGACCTGCAGGAACATATGTTCCAGCCAGTATAGCTCGGTTGGGTCATCACGATAGGCAAGCCCGACCACCACGTCAAGGTAGCAGCTACGGTCTTCTTGAATAGTATCTAATCCTAACCTCTTCGATTACTCCTAATACCTTTACTACCTCTTCTACTATTGGATTTGAATTGATAATTACATCTCTGTGCTGATGTGGTATGGCGACATGAACTGATGTACTTACGTACGAAGTTCTACGTTGCATCTAACTGATTGACTGAATTTATACTCTACCGGTCTCTAGTCAGTCAGTCAATTACAATGTAGAACTTCTTACGTACGTATATCAATTCAGGTTGCCATACCACGTTAACACAAAGATGCAACTGTCAGTTCAAATCCGAGTGATAGCAATAATAGGAGTATTAGCAGTAATTGAAGAGATTAGGGTTCGAGGATATTATTCAAGAAGTATAATTCAGTGACGTAAATTTAGAAAGAGAAAGGTAGAGGTGATGAGAAATTCAGAAGATTAGAATTTGAGAGAACACAATGAATAGATGCACCTGCGCCATTGCAAACGATTGTGAGTCATGTCGTTCAAGGTCTCTAACCATTGGTGACTTTCGTCTCGCGGACTCCAACCAGATAGCCTACATCTACCAACATGACTCAGTTCACTTGTCGTCAATGACTTCATGGTTTTGTGTAATGTATTGGTTTGGTAGCCCCTAACTTTCTTCCAACCTACTCCTACACCACAAAACATCGCTCGTCGAGGCAATCGATGGTTAGACATTCGTGACACATGTCCCAACCACCTGTTGTAGCAAATTATACTTGTTTCATTCTTGGATTTAGATAAAATCCATATGACTACCCAAAGATCGTCTTTAAAAATACGGTTGATTAATGAATTTTAATATCCCGTTCTTGGGATATTATTGCTTATACTAATGTTGTACGGCAACTTGAACTGATGTACGTAGATACGAAGTTCTGTGTTGTTGTCGACTGGACTGACTGACTGACTGACTAAGGTTCATTGACATTCATTACTTAACGCAATTAGATAAAGTTTTTTTCTCGACAGTTCATTAATAGTGCTTATCTACACAAACTAAAGTAAATTCATTGAATTCGAACCCACTGCTCAGTCGTATGAAGTTGGATGTTTCAACTTCTAAAACCCACTCGATCACATTATAATTGCTTTTTTATTATTATTTAGTCAATAAATTTTGTTACATATTTAAATCTTAATGTGGTTTGTACGCTAATTCGTTGTAATCAACTATTAATCGTCTATGAATATTCTGTATACTTTACACTGAGTTATACTGTTTGTCTAACAGTTAGTAAAATACTTAGTGACGAGTATGAGGGCAGGTGTCATTTCCCGGCTACACACACCATGGAAGGGTCTTTCTTGAAGATTCTGAAGAGGAAGTTGGATTAATGTTGGTCTTAGCGACCTATTAGGAGTGACCGCAGAGCCCAAGCGACAACTGCTTGAGGCTGGTCATGCACAAAGCTTTTAAAACGTTAGCTCCGCTATTCAAAATGCCTTTCCGCTGGAGCCAGTAATCCGTAAGGTAAGGTGAGGTGTGATATTTTTAGGGTTGACCTTTTCTAACTCATCCCTTCTGTTGTGAGAAGGCAGTATCTCTGCAGACACTTGTTGTCCAAGGGAAACACCTTACTGCTGTCACACACCTCTACAGTCAGCAGTACTACTTCTTATCGTTCTCCAATCGACCTGCTTGGCTTGGTAGAACATACAGCAACATATGTTTCAGTCAATATAGCTCAGTTGAGTTGTCACAATAGGCAATCCCGACCACTACGTCAAGGTAGCTGCTGCGGTTGGGAGTAAATTACTGTTTCATTATCTAAATGGAGTAGGCTTTTCTGGGTGTGAACTTGTTGTTGATCAAATCCCATAATTAATACACTTCTTGATTACATTTTGTGTGAACGTCAGGAGATTTAGTCCCATAATAGTCGGTTACTAATAATAGATCCTCCGTATCGATCGAATCGGTTTAAACACAAACCGGAAATTTACTTTTTGCCCTGTTAATTTCTTAATCAACAACACACATTCGCCACAAAAATCAATATAAAAATGAACTATTCACATGGTTGAGTATTTCAAGTGTAAACTGTTGTTTGTTTGTTTTCAGTCCACCTTCTATGGATCCACGTTTAGGGAATTTGCCCAGTCAACCACCTAATCCTTATCATATCTCCTATGCACCAGTTTCAGCACGTGATTCAGAGCATCATAGTTTGTCAAGTGATGCACGAACCGATGATACTCATTCACATACGGATAGTAGTCAGTAAGTTTAAAAAGTGTACATTATAGTTGTGTTTTCTTTTAAAAGTGATTAATTTTCTTTCCTATTTTGTAATAATGGGCTAATGATTGAGTCTGTTCTCTTGCGAAACAGTGTGCCTGTTACCCCTAATGGAGCATAGGCCATGCACCGGCATTCTTCGACCTACTCTCTCTTGGGCTTTC